TTCATATTTTCTATTTCTTCCTGGTTCAGTCTTGGAAGGTTATACCTCTCCAAGAATTTGTCCATTGCTTCCAGGTTGCCCATTTTATTGGCATAGAGTTGCTCGTAGTCATCTCTTCGGATGCTTTGTATTTCTGCAGTGTCTGTTGTAACTTCTCCTTTTTCATGTCTAATTTTATCGACTTGAGTCCTCTCCCTCTTTTTCTTGATGAGTCTGGGTAATGGTCTATCAATTTTGTTTCTCTTCTCAAAGAACAAGCTTTTGGTTTTATAGAATCTTTGCTATTTTCCCCTTGTTTCTGTTTCATTTATTTATTCTCTGATCTTTATGATTTATTTCCTCCTACTAACTTTGGGTTTTGTTTGTTCTTCGTTCTCCAGATCCTTTAGGTGTAAGCGTAGATTGTTTATTTGAGATTTTTCTTTTTTCTTGAGGTAGGCTTGTATAGCTATAAACTTCCCTCTTATAACTGCGTTTGCTGCATCCCACAGGTTTTGGATCGTCGTGTTTTCATTATCATTTGTCTCTAGGTATTTTTTGATTTCCCCTTTGATTTTTTCAGTGATCTCTTGGTTATTTAGTAACGTATTGTTTAGCCTCCATATGTTTGTGTTTCTTATGTCCTTTCCTCTGTAATTCATTTCTAATCTCATAGCGTTGTGGTCAGAAAAGATGCTTGATATGATTTCAATTTTCTTAAATTTACTGAGGCTTGATTTGTCACCCAAGATGTGATCTATCCTGGAGACTGTTCCGGGCGCACTTGAGAGAAAGTGTAATCTGCTGTTTTTGGATGGAATGTCCTATAAATATCAATTAAATCTATCTGGTCTATTGTGTCATTTAAAGCTTCTGTTTCCTTATTAATTTTCTGTTTGGATGATCTGTCTATTGGTGTAACTGAGGTGTTAAAGTCCCCCACTATTAATGTGTTACTGTCGGTTTCCTCCTTTAGAGCTGTTAGCAGTTGCCTTATGTATTGAGGTGCTCCTATGTTGGGTGCATATATATTTATAATTGTTATATCTTCGTCTTGGGTTGATCCCTTGATCATTACGTAGTCTGCTTCATTGTCTCTTGTAACATTCTTTATTTTAAAGTCTATTTTGTCTGATATGAGAGTTACTACTCCAGCTTTCTTTTGATTCCCATTTGCATGGAATATCTTTTTCCATCCCCTCACTTTCACTCTGTATGTGTCCCTAGGTCTGAAGTGGGTGTCTTGTAGACAGCATATTTATGGATCTTGTTTCTGTATCCATTCAGCCAGTCTATGTCTTTTGGTTGGAGCATTTAATCCATTTACATTTAAGGTAATTATCAATATGTATGTTCCTATTACCATTTTCTCAATTGTTTTAGTTTTGTTATTGTAGGTCTTTTCCTTCTCTTTTGTTTCCTGCCTAGAGAAGTTCCTTTAGCATTTGTTGTAAAGCTCGTTTTGTGGTGCTGAATTCTCTTAGCTTTTGCTTGTCTGTAAAGGTTTTAATTTCTCTGTTGAATCTGAATGAGATCCTTGCTGGGTAGAGTAATCCTGGTTATAGGTTTTTCCCTTTCATCAATTTATATATGTCCTGCCACTTCCTTCTGGCTTGCAGAGTTTCTGCTGAAAGATCAGCTGTTAACCTTATGGGGATTCCCTTGTATGTTATTTATTGCTTTTCCCTTGCTGCTTTTAATATTCTTTTCCTTGTGTTTAATTTTTGATAGTTTGATTAATATGTGTCTTGGCATGTTTCTCCTTGGATTTATCCTGTATGGGACTCTCTGTGCTTCCTGCACTTGATTGACTATTTCCTTTCCCATATTAGGGAAGTTTTCAACAATAATCTCTTCAAATATTTTCTCAGTCCCTTTCTTTTTCTCTTCTTCTTATGGGACCCATATAATTCGAATGTTGGCACATTTAAAGTTGTCCCAGAGGTCTCTGAGACTGTCCTCATTCTTTTCATTCTTTTTTCTTTATTCGGCTCTGCGGTAGTTATTTCCACTATTTTATCTTCCAGGTCACTTATCCGTTTTTCTGTCTCAGTTATTCTGATATTGATTCCTTCTAGAGAATTTTTAATTTCATTTATTGTGTTGTTCATCATTGTTTGTTTGCTCTTTAGTTCTTCTAGGTCCTTGTTAAACCTTTCTTGTATTTTCTCCATTCTGTTTCCAAGATTTTGGATCATCTTTACTATCATTACTCTGAATTCTTTTTCAGGTAGACTGCCTATTTCCTCTTCATTTGTTTGGTCTGGTGGGTTTTTACCTTGCTCCTTCATCTGCTGTGTATTTCTGTGTCTTCTCATTTTGCTTAACTTACTGTGTCTGGGGTCTCCTTTTCGCAGGCTGCAAGTTCGTAGTTCCCCTTGTTTTTGGTGTCCGCCCCCAGTGGTTAAGGTTGTTTCAGTGGAGTGGGTTGTGTAGGCTTCCTGGTGGAGGAGACTACTGCCTGTGATCAGAGGATGAGGCTGAATCTTGTCTTTCTGCTGTGCAGGACCACATCCGGTGGTGTGTTTTGGGGTGTTTGTGCCCCTTTTATGATTTTAGGTAGCCTCTCTGATAATGAGTGGGGTTGTGTTCCTGTCTTGCTAGTTGTTTGGTATGGGGTGTCCAGTACTGGAGCTTGCTGTTTTTTAAGTTGCGATGCATCTTAGCATTGAGATGGCGGACCCTGCGAGAGCTTTCGCCGATTGATGTTATGTGGGGCCTGGAGGTCTCTGGTGGTCCAATGTCCTGAACTCAGCTCTGCTACCTCAGAGGCTCACACCTGTTACCTGGCCAGAGAACCCAGACCCTTTTGGGAAGTGTGAGGTCTTCTGCCAGCCTTCATTAGGTGTTCTGTAGGAGTTGTTCCACATGTAGATGTATTTTTGATGTATTTGTGGGGAGGAAGGTGATCTCCACGTCCTACTCCTCCGCCATCTTGAAGGTACTCACTCTTTTTTTTTTAAGGGAGAACGATACTAGTTAACTTACATATATAATCCTTACTTGCCTAAATCTAAAGTTGGCAACTCTACGTAGGTTCTAAAGTTAGGGGAGAATTTTTCCTGGTTGGTAAAATTGAAAAGAGGGTAACCATTAGTATTAGGGACCTGAACGCAGAGTCATTCAGAACTAGATGTCTGTTTCTACAGCTATAGACTGAGTTGGACTGTGGTCTTGAAAGTCTCTTCATGTTCAAAATTTCTATAACCTTTTTGTCCTAAGTAAGGAATCACTGGAGTTTAATCTGAAATTTGGTTAGAACCTGCTGGGAAGCCTCTGAGTGAAGCTGAGATGCATCAGGCTGTTTGTCAGGAGTCTGGGGGTTGGGAGGAGGCATTAGCTGCCTTCCAAAGCTAGTCTTTCACCCGTGAAGCACTATGTGAATGAAGCTCTAATTACTTCAGCTCAACACATCTCCTATGCTCTCCCTCGGGGGAGTCTAGAAAGCTGTTTGTTTTGGTGGAAGAGAGAATTCCAGGGATGTTCACTGTCAAAGCCCCCATCCAAACCTTGGTCAGAAACTTCCTTGGTTCTACATGATCTACAGCAAAGAGGTTACCTCTACTCCACTCATGTTTTCTACCTGATAGGAGAAGTTCTACTTTGCAGTTTGAAGAACATAGGTAAATAAAGTCCCAAAGTTTTGCCTATGGTCTTTCTTAGCTACATCAAGGTATATAGCATGGCATAGAATCATGGGGGAGGGGCAGGTTTCTCATTTCTCAGAGTCTTCGTTTCATCGTCTGTAGAGTGGAGATAATAATGGTGCCTACCTGACGAGACTTTTGTAAAGATTAAAAGAGATAACGTATGTAAATGAACAGGGCCCTATAGTAAGCACTCACTGAATGTTTCCTTCCACACAGTAGCAGTGTTCCTCTTATCTTTCTTATTAACTGTAACCTCCCTGAGAGCATGCAAACTTTTAGAGAATAATGTCTGTTTTTAAAGCATCTGTGATTTTTTCCCACTGTTCTGCTCACCTTTTATGCCCAAAGCCTGGCACACTGCATGGCACATAGGAGAGCTTCAGTAAATTTTTGCCAAATGAATGAATAAATGAATTTTGGTCCACCCGAGGATTGAGATATTTTAGGCATGGGTGCCTCTGTTAAGATTAGCTGGTGGAAATGCCCTGGGGAATACTTTTTATTGGTAGCTTTAAAATGCCCCCTGCCCCTTTCACAAGAGGGTGACCCTTTTTAGCTTCCTTTCCAACAGCAGAAGAGAGCCCAGTGGAATTTTTCAGGCTGGAGACTTTAGAGAGCTACTGATATTTTTATAATATATGATGTTAAATACAATTGCACATGTGCCTAGAGACCTTTTAAGGCATGAATTCCAGCATCCAATTTTATTTGGTTTCAGAAACTTAATAAACAAGTAACACAACCCGGTCGTTGTTCTTTAAATAAAAATTAGAGATCTCCCATTAATAGCAGCAAAACAGAAACATCAGCCATGCTTAATAGGGCGGTGGAGTATGTTCTGTCTCACCCAGGAGCCAGGCAACAAGTGGGCATTGTGTTAAGGTTCCAGAGAAGGGACACAGACACGTGACTAGATGACAGCTTATTAAATGTCGCCCAGCAAAGGCCACTCAGAGAGGATGCGTGTCACCAACCACCATTTTCCTTCTCTGCTGTAGCCTCATGCAAACTGCGCATGCCTTGGAAAGTTTGAGTGTGGTTTGCAAACAGTGTTAATGTTCCCATGCCATAAACAATTCAGCTGTTCAGGAAATGAAGCCAAATAATAATAATATTTTTTAAGTGTCAATAACCGAAGTAAATCAAACACTGTTGCCTGAGGTTTTAAACACTCTTGGGAACCCCGGCTACATATTTCTCATGCAAGAGAGCATTAACATCCTTAAGGTGGTCATTGTTGTCACCTCTGCTCTGTTCATTTTTCTCCTCCCTCTTTCCTGTGGGTTAAAGGGGAACAGTGTTGCTGCTCTGATGTGATGGGGTTAAAGATGAGGTAAGTGTGAAACTGGGAGCCAGACAGCTCGTACTTACTGCTCGCTTGGAAGTGAAGAGTTTCTCGACATCGCCTTTGGTGACAAGTCATAGTCGCTGTCTGATCTGTAGAGAAAGGACTCTCTGCGCTGGCTGTGCCCGGGAAAGGTGGCATGAAGCACCAGCCCAGAGGAAGAGCTGGCCTGGGGATCCAGCGGGCTCCGACCTGGGGAAGGGCCATTTTCCACATCAAAGCTTAAAGAGAAAGAAGAAAACTGGTCACAGGAGAAACATAGAGAAGGGCATCTGACATACATACATGGAGAACCCATGCGTGCCAGGCACTTTACATAGCACTTCACACTTCATGGAAAGTTTTAAGGCTCCAAATAGCTCTGAGTTGCAGTCATTCTCATTCTGTACAAACGGAACAGTCCCACAGAAGTTCAGTCATCAGCAGAGACTGGAGCCAGGATTTGACCCTGGGAGCAAAGTCCCATGGCCTTTCAGCGGCATGAGCAACATTGACAAATTCATAAAATAAACTGTTGATAATAAGCGACTCCAGATATAGCATCTAACACAGCTCTAAGTGCCAGACACTCAACTATCACTTGAATGAGTCTTCTTAGCTAGGAGGCTTCTTCCTGCCATAAATAAATATCACAGTCTCATTAAAGATACAATGTGCACATTTCTGAATGTTTCAGGAACAAACTGCTATCCTGAAAACATCCACTGGCTGATTAAACCGGAGGCCCAGTCTGACACTTAATATTCATATGCATGTTTAAGCACAGACAATGACTTAATTAATCTGATAATGCCGAATAGCCCTCCAGGGGTGCAGAGCTTTCTCTCTGGAGGAGGATATAGCTACTGACTCTGGCAGAGGAGTGCCGTTGAGACTTCTGGTCAGTCTACCTCACTCTGGAAAGGTACCCTCAAGTCCAGAATTATTTGAACAAGCCCTGATCAATGAACACACAGGTGGGAGCAGTAGACATTTTGGCTGTTGTTTTCTCTCTCCTGGTCCTGGTGTTACTTTAGGCACTGTGTCCTTCCCATGCTCTCCACCATCCCCTATGCATTTTTCCTGCATGCACAACCTCCCTTAGCCTCAGATTGACAGTAACCCTCTTGCCTAGTATTTCTCTAGACCACTCACTGCTCTCTGGCTAAAGCTCTGCAGAAAGGTGTTGGAGAAGGTACGGGGCTAAGGATGTTCTCTTTTCCAAGCTGGACCACAGCCGCGGGCTTCCTTTATACTCATCCAGCTGCCATAATTTATTTCTACATTTGTGGTTCTTTTCATTCACTAGTTCTTATAGCCTTCTCTCTTGGGGTGGATTTTGCGTATATTTTTTTAGTTTATAAATTGCTTTCTGATCTAGTATTCCATTTACAACCCTTATCACGACCCTGTGAAGTATGTAGTATGATCTCAGTCTACATTTGAGGAAAATGAGGCTTAGAGAGATTTTAAACACCAGCTCAAAATCACAGGCTAGTAACTGTACAGTAAGAATTGGAAAATCCAAGTCTTCCAATTCAGGCTTCCACAACCTCTGACTTCAGTAATCACAGAACTCCAGAATGGCTCACTGGGTCACTGAGTGCAGTTTCCCCTCAGTCTCTACATTCAAGAGAAACGTGTGTTTGGTATGTAGAGAGTCAATCGGATTATGAGCAACCTTGGCTGTTATCTTGGATGAAGACAGGGGAGGCAGTAAACTACCCTGAGGCTGTAGGTTTCACTGAAACAGGGAAAGAAGAATTGAAAGAATTCAGGGTCATAATGCTTCCCCGGAGACCATTCCGAGAAGCTGCTTTTAGCCAACCCACAAACTCCAGGTGTCTGATAAGAAGCAGCAAGTGAGAATCTCCAGTTAAGAGAACAAGGAAGAGCCGTAACAATCCAATGTATGTATTTGGGCTTTCACCGTACTGCAGATGGATTTTCACAGCAGGCTCACGGTCTGGGATGGGACTGTCTTTCAGAGACTGCAGGCAAGCAGGCAGGTGGGCAATCACTCACACACTTTAGCCTGTTTGCCAGCCTGCCTGGAGGTAGAGCTATGTTGTAAGGTAAATACGTTGCAGCAAGTGAAAATATAATGTAAGCTGACTTGCACACTTTCCTTGGGTGAGATCTGTACTAGTTGCTGAGCAAAATAAAAGAGCTCCTTTGTGGATAAGGACTCCTTTGTGCCACCCAGAGCTTGTAAAACTAGGACTTGATGCTGGCTCTGAACTCTTTTTAAGGACAAAGAGGGAAGCTCTTAAAAGGTAAAGATGGGACTACATAAAGCTTAAGAGTGGGCCTAGGGCTTCCCTGGTGGCGCAGTGGTTGAGAGTCTGCCTGCCGATGCAGGGAACACGGGTTCGTGCCCCGGTCCGGGAAGATCCCACATGCCGCGGAGCGGCTGGGCCCGTGAGCCATGGCCGCTGAGCCTGCGTGTACGGAGACTGTGAGCCGCAACGGGAGAGGCCGCAACAGTGAGAGGCCCGCGAACCGCAAAAAAAAAAAAAAAAAAGAGTGGGCATAAATAAGCTTTGAAATTTCATGAGTAATCATGCTGTAATTCATTTGGTATCTATCCGTACAGCCTTTATGGCTATTAAAACATTGAAATACTTTTTTTTTTTTGATGTGGACCATTTTTAAAGTCTTTATTGAATTTGTTACACTATTGCTTCTGTTTTATGTTTTGTTTTTTTAACCCCGAGGCGTGTGGGATCTTACCTCTCCAACCAGGGATTGAACCTGCACCCCCTGCACTGGAAGGCAAAGTCTTAACCACTGGACGGCCAGGGGAGTCCCTGAAATGCTTTTGTAACAGTTGGCAGCCAGTCACTGCCCCAGACCGTCCAGGATCTGCTGCTGACTGGAACAGCAGGGGGCCTCTAGCTTCAGCACGGTGGCCTGTGTCCTTTTAATTGGTCAGTGCCCATGTGGTACCAGTCATTACATATTATGAATGCCACTGCTGTGTATATCTGTGCTAAAATCTTAGAAGAGGTGCCAAGTGGGTATGCCTACCAAACTCTCAGAACTTTTTCCATTGAGGGTTTCCACCAAGGCTCACTCTGCCCTCCTTCCTGCTGCAGGCATTCCTAGTGGGCAGAAAGTAAGTCCACAAGTATTACCCTTTAAGTAGATGTCACAAACCATCTGCCCCCAGTGTTAGCAGGAGTACCAGGAGGTTTAGTCCTGCCAGGTAAGCAGGGACTAGGCCCAGACACTAAAACTCCCTCCATGCTGCTTTCCTTTGTTTTCTTCTTTTTCTTTTTTCTTTCTTCTTTACCCTGCCTAAACTCATAGAAGAGCTTGCGGGAATTCAGAAAAAGCCAAAAGGAAGAATTCTCTGGGGCAAAGAAGCAGTTTCAGGGAGACAAGTGGCCTTTCATATTCCCTGGGGCACTGTTTCAAAGCAACCAACACAGATGTACAACTTAGGAACAAACATGAATCACCAACCAGACACCAGCTCCAGTCACAGCAAAATTAGTGGGCAGACATCACAATACGTCCCACAGATCCAGGGTGGGAAGAGGGGTTGTGGGCAAGGGGAGGACGGAAGACAGGCTTAACAAGCAAAACGAACATGCCGCATAAACTGAAATACAATTAGGGAAAAAACAGAATCTGAAATATCGGAAGCGAACATACCAATGGGTTTATTATTTATTTAATTTTTGGCCCTGCCTTAATCAGGACTCATATTTCACTTTTAGGCTTCTTTATATTAAAAAATACTATGATAAAAGTAAATAAGCATGTTATGTAAAATATAAACAATAGAGAAAAAATATTAGCAGGTTAGTATTTTCTTTCTGAGTGTTAATATTTTTCCTGCAGGCTTGAATCGCGATTTTTTTTCGCATAGTGTGCAGTTTTCAGAATTATTTTCCATGCCCATGGAACTTAATGGTTCATCCAGAATTTGTGCCGAACTTCCTCAGGCATTTTCCCTATTGTGGGTCACTAAATTTCTAATTTTAAATAACATTTTAAGTGATACCTTTGAGCTTACAGTTACTTCAATATTCGGATGACGTCACTGAGAAGTTTCAGATAGACTGAGAGGATGTCGTGCACAAGTTTCTGAATAGTTGACGGGACCTGCCCACAGCCAGCATACGGACTGAAACAGTATTGAAAGTGGCCTTTTCTCTAGGATCAGAGACACTCCCCCCACCCCCAAGTCCTGCTCTCTGACGTCCAGGATTCTGTATGCTGCTGTCCCCCGTGATTCTGCCTGCCTTGGCAGATCACCCTGGACTGAGTCAATTGCTTGTTGTCTAAGACCTAATATTTTAACAACTTTCTCCTGCTTTGATTCTAGAGGTCTCAGCTTCTTGAGGCAGCGGTGGTAGTGGGTGATGCTGCGTGTGAGAGGTGGTGCTCCCCGTAGCTGGAACGCCCTGCTCCCCACTGTCTCCAATCGATCATTACTTCAAATTCAGCTCGTGCCACCTTCTCCAGTAAATATTTTCTAACATTGCAGCTACCAGTTCGATTTAGATACGTACTCCTCTTCTGCATTCTCCTAGACTCCTTTACAGCAGTACCTGATCACAGTACTTGTAATCTCTATTTAATTTTCCATTTATTTAATTATCCACTTGTTTAGCTGCTCCCCGATAGATTCTTATCTCCTAAAGAGAAGGGACCCAATATTACTCACTTTTGCATCCCAGGCACCTGGATCGGAGCCTTGTAAATAGTAGGTCTATCAAAAAAAGTCAGCTGAACCAATGAAAGTCAGTTTACTATGAAATGTTTCTCCTGTCCCTTCCCTCTTCCTGCCTCCTTACCCTCATCTCAATTCCCACTTGCAGGGGTTTCTTCTGTTTCCTTCAAATGAGTCTATACAGATGCGGCATTAACTTATTTGATAAGCTTTGTGAGACAGTGATCTACAAATAAAAATAAAAATAGGGCTTCCCTAGTGGTGCAGTGGTTGAGAGTCCGCCTGCCGATGCAGGGGACACAAGTTCGTACCCCGGTCCGGGAAGATCCCACATGCCGCGGAGCAGCTGGGCCCGTGAGCCATGGCTGCTGAGCCTGTGCATCCGGAGCCTGTGCTCCGCAACGGGAGAGGCCACAACAGTGAGAGGCCCGCGTACCACACAAAAAAAATAATAATAAATAAATAAATAAATAAAAAGCACAGCTGTGTTCTCCCTGAACAAAACAAACTTATATACAAAAATCACTGGCTTAGATGTTTGAGATGGTGATATCTTTA